TATATATATATATATATACTAAAGAGTGTTTTAATCACAACATTCTATTTTAATTTGACAATTGAGATTGTTAATTCTCGTTCTCATATAAATATGTCATTCTCATAATATACACATCCAATATATATGCCAATGGGAGAAAATGTGCTACCTACTTCCATTTGAATATACATGTTAGGGAGATAATTTGCAACTATTGCATTCAATAATTGTTTCAAGAATAAAATTTTTACACTAAACTTTTTTTTGTGACCTTTATTAAATATCATCGTGCAATTTAATATTTTTATTTAAAGAGTTAAAATTGTAAGAAAATAATGTATACACAAAAATAAATAACCATCTTTATACATAGGTATTAGAAGAAAAAAGACACTTTGTGTCTCTCTTAAAAAAAAAGTGATTAATAAAAGAATGAGATATTTGAAAATTGAATATTGTTGAAGTAGAAAAAAAATAAACAAATGACAATGAAAGAGAAAGTGGTTTAGAGGTAGTTATAAAGGTAAGTTTAAAATTTGTATACACCTTATTAATAGTATTTTATTGGTAATTGTGACATTGGTTTGAAGTACTAATCTCTGTCGAAGATCATAAATATATACAAAATAAGTATTTTGTTCTCAATGTAGTCAATCTCATACATAAAAATTATATTTGAACCTTAGACAATTTGAAAACACACATATATATATATAAATAGGGATGACAACAGGACAGGTCGGGTATGGGTTTCATGATACCCGTCCCCGCAACTCAAATCCATCATCGTACCTGCCGGGTATATGATTTTCGTCCTCATCCCCGTCCCCGTTGGATATCCGGTATACTTGTACTCGTAAAAAATTATTATTATTATTTTTATAAAAAAATAAACAATATTTTTAAATTATTTTTTCATTATATTATAATTATAATTATATTATTTCTCTATCTCATATTTTAATCAAGAGATTTTTTAATAATTAAACAACTATAAATGTTTCACATTATAATAAATAATTACACATAATAAAATATTAAATTTTTTAACATAATTCAATCAGGGACGATACAGGGCGAGTATGTATATACCCGTACGCGTACCCATACCCCGGTTTAACATATCGGGTTTTACCCGTACCCGTACCCGATCAAACAAGATATTTCTCGTCAAAGTTAGAATGAGTTCGGTATCACCCATGGGTACGAGTTTATTTGTCATCCCTATATATAAAGGAGTTCACCTACTCTAAGAGTAATTATTGTTTTATTCAATAACTCTTAAATCTATATTAGTTTTTAAAAATTTAATCATTAAATTAAAAGTTTCTAATAAATAGATAAAATATACAAATTTTACAAAGTTTAAAAATATTTAATACTATGTTATATTCATTCAAATTAACGGTTATTCATAAAAACATATTATATGTTAATTTGAATCTATATAATAAAGCACTAAATTGTTTTTAAATTTTGTAAGAATTTGTAAACTTGGTCTATTAATTAAATTTTTTAATTAAACGGTTAAATTATTAAATTGAATGTAAAATATGAATTATTGAATAGAGTTACTTAATTACATGTACTTTTTTTTTAGAGTTAATTTTGTATAATTATTGAAATCCTTTTCCCAGCTACTAAACTAACTTGAGTGATTTTCATTACATGTACTTTTTTTAGAGTTAATTTTGTTTAATTTTTTTAAGAAATAAATTTTCTAAATTTTAATGTGTTTTCTCTAAACTAATTTTTAATGAAAAATTAATTTTTGACTTTTCTTTATTAGTAATTTTTATTTTTCTTATTAGTGATGAAAAATGAGATAATAAAAAAGATTTTTTTTTAATAAACAAACTGCCCAATATATACTATATTATTCATAATAACTTTTAATATGAGTTATCAGTTTTGTGAATGAAAATATGCTAGAAAAGAACGAGCTAGAAAGCAACACGATGGATAAGAGATCTGAAACTGAAAGTTCTAGTTCAGATCAAGACAAATTTGTTGTCTTTCTCTCTCTCTCTCTTCTCTTTTTCCCATAAAAAATCTCAAACAAAAACAACGTATATTTATTTGAGGCGAACGAAGAATTAAAAAAAAAAAATGAAAAAGAAGTACAGGTGGGACGTTCCGAGTGGGTACAACGAACGTAAACCCAACTCAAGTCCGCTCCGCGTGATAAAAATCGGTTTTAAAGGTTGTTGGGTTGTTCCTGCGGAGGCGGCGTGGAGGCGCCGCTGGGAGAATCGAAACCCGCCATTTGGAGGAGCGAGATTCCGAAACACACTACGCTAATTAAATTTTTTAATTAAACGGTTAAATTATTAAATTGAATGTAAAATATGAATTATTGAATAGAGTTACTTAATTACATGTACTTTTTTTTTAGAGTTAATTTTGTATAATTATTGAAATCCTTTTCCCAGCTACTAAACTAACTTGAGTGATTTTCATTACATGTACTTTTTTTAGAGTTAATTTTGTTTAATTTTTTTAAGAAATAAATTTTCTAAATTTTAATGTGTTTTCTCTAAACTAATTTTTAATGAAAAATTAATTTTTGACTTTTCTTTATTAGTAATTTTTATTTTTCTTATTAGTGATGAAAAATGAGATAATAAAAAAGATTTTTTTTTAATAAACAAACTGCCCAATATATACTATATTATTCATAATAACTTTTAATATGAGTTATCAGTTTTGTGAATGAAAATATGCTAGAAAAGAACGAGCTAGAAAGCAACACGATGGATAAGAGATCTGAAACTGAAAGTTCTAGTTCAGATCAAGACAAATTTGTTGTCTTTCTCTCTCTCTCTCTTCTCTTTTTCCCATAAAAAATCTCCCTTAGGGCATGCCTTGTTCAAGTTGGTGTAGTCGGTGCACGTGCGCCACTTCCCATTCGGTTTCTTGACCATGACTACATTGGCCAACCATGTTGTATAATGTACTTCTCGGATGAACCGAGCATCTAATAGCTTTCCCACCTCAGCTTTGATCGCTGCCTTCCTTTCCTCTCCGGCCTTCTGGCGCCGTTGAGCGATCGGTCTTGCCTGCTTGCTCACTGATAACTTGTGGCAAATAAAGTTGGGGTCAATGCCGGGCATATCAGACGGGTACCCGGCGAATAAGTCACTATTTTCAAGGACCCCTTGCTTAAGGGCCAGGCGCTCTTGTTCGGATAAATTGGTCCCGAGGTAGGTGACTTGAGCCCTGGACACCCCCACCTGGATGGGTTGCTTGTCTTCAATAGGCTCGACCCTCTCATCTTGATCAATCCGGGGGTCGAGGTCTAAGGCTGACTGCTGTGATACCGAATGTACCCCTGCTGGTTTTGCTGCTTCGGGCTTCATTTTCGGTAATCGCAAACTAGCAAAGTAGCACTCTCGCGCGGTTTTTTGATCAGCGTGAACCGTGATTACTCGTCCTGAGTCGGCTGGGAACTTCATAGCCAGGTGCGGAGTGGAGACGATTGCACCGAGCCGATTTAAGGACGACCGACCGAGCAAAATGTTATAGGACGTGTTGGCATGTACCACCACATATTTGACCGAAACGTCTCTGTATTCGGTTCCTTCAAACCCAAACCGGGTTGACAACTTGATATAACCCTTTGTTTTGACTCTTTCCCCTGAAAATCCTACCAAAGGTTCATCGTAGGGAATTAATTCGGCTTCTGGGATACCCAACTGTTTGAACGTGTTCCAATAAAGGATATCGGCGGAGCTCCCCTGATCTACCAATGTCTTGCGCACAATGCAGTTGTGAATTTCAACGCTAATTATCATAGGATCATCCTGGTATGGGTCGATACCTTTGAAGTCGGCTTCAGTGAAAGTTATGGTGGGTAGGCGGCGACGAACAGTTTCGACGGCATGCACATGTCGAACGGCCCGTAAGTGTCTACGCTGCGCGGACGAAGACGAACCGCCGCCAGCGAAGCCGCCGGCAATGGTGTTGATGACCCGGCGAGGCTGTGTTGAAGGCTCTTCTCGCCTTTCTCTAGACCGACTGCATTCTCGATACGAACGACTTTCTGTTCTTCGTTCAGCCCGATCGTCCCGTCGTGACCGGTGGGTGTTTCGGGGTGAGTTCGAGGAAACCTTGCAAATGTCCTTGTTTGATCAGATCTTCAATCTTATCCTTCAAGGCCGCACATTCTTCTGTTGAATGCCCTCGATTGCGGTGATACCTGCAAGACTTCGTTGTATCGACCCTAGGAGGGGTCGAAGCTCGTTTCGGGACGGCCAGGACCTCCGAGGTCAACGCTTGCTCTATCGCTGCCAACCGACTGGTATTGAGCGGTGTGTATTGTGAATACCTTGGGCCACGAGGGGGCCTCTCGCGGGATGCTAATTCTTTCGGACGGCTCCAAAAATTGTTTTTAGTCGGCTTTTCCGGCTTAGCGGCTGTCTCCGTTCTGGCTTGATTGCGGAACTCTGCTAATTCTTCCATTTGCATGTATTTATCAGCTCGTCGCCGCAAGTCATCCATATCGGTCGGCGGTTTTTTGCAGATGCTGTTGGCAAAGGGACCCGGTTTTAGAGCGGTTGTGAGATGATGTAGAGCCACAACAGGGTTTAGGTCTCGGATTTCGAGAGCCGCTTTGTTGAATCGGCTCATGAACGTCCGAAGAGACTCCTTTCTATCTTGACGAATGCTAACTAATGCCAACAAGGTTAACTGATGAGGGCGGCTGGTGGTGAACTGGATTGTGAACTGGGAGGCCAGCGTGCCAAATGAGTCGACAGAATTGGCTGGGAGTCGGGTGAACCAACTCAGCGCTCGCCCCTTCAAGGATGTCAGAAAGATTCGGCATAGCGCGACATCATCGGTGGTGCTCAAGGTAACCTGTGTCAAAAACACATCCACGTGTTCATCTGGGTCGGTTGTACCATCGTATTTGTCAAGGGGCAGGGACTTCCAGTGGTCAAGAAGTGCCGATTGCATGATGTTCGGCGTAAATGGATGTCGATGTGCCCCGGCCGGCATTGGTTGTGCCGGTCTTTCGATCGAAGCATGGATGTCTGGGGGCGCGACAGAGGTATGAGGAATAGAGGTGTGATGACCGTGCGAGTGGAACGATCCCTGAGTGTGGGTCGTCTCAGATGGTTTCCATGTGGGGTCTCGGTATTGGTTTTTTAGAGCAGCATTCTCTTCTTTCAATGCGGCCATCTCGACGGCATCTCTCTCTCGCTGCTGTTTCATGGCGATCATTTCCTCCTTCATTTGGCGTACCATATCGGTCAAGTTTGTCTCCTCAACCGTCTCGGCCCCGGACTGGTGCTCCTCTTCGGACTGTTGCCCTTCAAAATTAGTATTCCTTGTCTTTACCATGATTCTTTTACTCGTAAACTTTCGATGCTTCTGCAATGCTTTCGGTTCGGCCCCACAGTGGGCGCCAAAATGTACCTACTTGAGGGTACACTCGTAGTCTTCTTGGTAAGAAGGGCCGAACGGATACTTCAAACGGACTCTTCAGAGGGGGGAGGTACCTGCAAAAGGCACTCCGACGCTCAAGTCAGGACAAGCACGATATTCTAGGATAATTAATGAACAGTGACGTACCTCGTTACGTGTGACCTATTTATAATACCTGACATGGGCCTGAACGTGGTGAGCCTATTCTAATCTTTACCAAATTAGGTAATATGATGCTAATCAGCTAATCATGTCTTAATTATGCACTTGTCCTTGTTAACTGTGATTTGTACTATAACCCGTTTAACCTATCGGCACATTGCCGAGCCGACAGGCTAATGCTTGGGAGGTTGCATGTCTTCGACTGTTGACCGGGCCGGTAAACGTTTACTTGGTAATCTTATCGGATCGACATTGGGCCGAGCCGATATGTAGGATGCGGGGATGCATCATGCTGTTTGCATCGGCCTTCAGCCGAGCCGATGCTAACGTCAGCCTTGGGTATGGTCCAGTTCGCATGGGTGTTTGACGGAACGGCACGTGTTGGTCAACGTGACCGATAGGGTCCTCCCGGTACAACAAACAAATAAATTATATTGGCTCTAAGTGAAAATAAATAATATTTACAAAAAAATACAAACGTTTACGATAAACAAAATGCGACTAATTGTTTTCCTCGTTGGAATGAATAAATGAAATCAACATGTAGAGGAAAATACGGAACAAATAGATATAGACACATTACCAGAAAAAAATAGATATAGACATAAAACACAATGATAAGAGTGATTGAATGATAAATCATCCATAAAGAGAAATAGAAATATGTCATACATTAGAGAGGAATTACAAACCTTAGTCATAATATCAAATACATATTGAAATAGTAAATGGACATTCCTTAAACCAATATCAAAATATACACATTCGAAAAAGATAATGAATACACGTCATAAAATCAACACAATATATCCTCAAAACTATAAGACCTCATACTACTTAACCTAGCCAAAGAATACTATTCCATTGTAATTAAGTGTCTTTTCAGGATCTTCCTTAAAACTAAACAATGGAACATGGGATTTGACTTAGGCCCATATGATGATAAGGTCATTGATCTTTTGTGAGGCATGTAGGTGTTCTGTACATTCTCTTCATAAACAATCTAAAATTCAACATCATACAAACTAACTACAAAAATATCAAGAGGCTAATGGGTGCTAAAGGTTAATATATATGATGTCACTTTCATTCATAACATGCCAACCTTTAAAGATTAAATCACCATTGCTTATGAACCCTTTTGATCTCCTTAACAAACTCAAGTCAAAGCTTATCTAGATGCATGCCTATATAGGGAAAATGAAACATAAAAATAACAAAGTGGTCACCTGAACACAAACATTGCATGAGTAGCTGCAATTAACATACAAACAAACAAGCATCGAAATCATACGAACAAATAATCCAAATAAAACACCATATAACTTAGCATGCTCATTTCATCTAATATACAACAATGAGCAAATAGGACGACAAACAAATATACATTGTAAATGCACAACAAATTCAATACTCATAGATGAGATAGGCACCACTCCATGGAATTCAAACACCATATTGACCAATTAGTTGGTTGTATTCCTAACATAGTAAAAACCAATATGATAATTTTGTCAACAATATGATACGTGCCAAAATTATTTGATAGACACTTTGAAATTTAATAGTGGAAGTAAACTCCAATTTGTTAGGATATACATGCAAGGGTGGTCACTTACCATGTCACATGATGTATAATTGGTGAATATATTTTTCACTTGACAAATGGACCAAGAAGTGTAATATTTGAAGATATTGTCTACGTAGATTTGTAAATATTTGTAATTTCTTTTTTAGTTCGACTTGTAATAATAAATATATACATATTTATATAATGCGATGATTATGTAATTAAAATAGATGATTAATGATCAAATTGATTTAAGAGAATATTTTGTAGATTCAAATTAATAAGACCAATATAAGAGAGATTGGGATTGAAATGCACTTGCACACAATTTATGTTTTCTAATGATTCTCACATATGGATTCAATTTCTCATAATCCCCATCCATTATAATTATTCAAGTTGATTCCTCAAACTTGATTCTCTAAGAATTTAACTTTGATTTATGATTCTTCAATGATCAAAGTTGGATTCTTGCATTAAGAATGATGATGTAAATAGTTAACAACTCCAAATCTATTTATAACATCTGGAGTTACCAAAAGATGAGTGATCAAATCGACTTAAGCAATAAAAGCAAAACCAAAACACAATATGAAAAATTGAATTACATAGATGAGATCCAAAGGATTACATAAGTGTTTGACAATTACATTTAATTCTAACCCAAGAGAAATCGATTACTCATGATGAGGGTTTCAACTGATATAATAAGAAATTACAAGATGGAGAAAGAAGGAATGGGTATGGTGAAGATCCTTGTTCCCAATGGATCTTGATCTTCCAAAGCCTCCTTGGATGCTCTATTTTTCTCGCAAGTCTTTCTTTCTCCGTCATTTTGAAGTCGTCTTTCTTTCTTTACAATCCCTTATTTATATGTTATGTGTGGAATAGGGAAAAATTATAAATTTAAGCTCCACCACTACAGCTCCATCTCACCATTGTAGTGTTGAGGGGTTCTTTATGGCGAAGGAAGCTCTTGTTGCCAGGTTGAGCGCTAGGATTCTTGGTTAGCCTCTGGTCCTCTATCCTACAAAGATTCAACGCCACAACTCCAAAATTACTATTACCGCATTGGATCTTTGGACTTTTGTTCTAGTCCCCAAATCTCAGTGTTAAAGCGCTAGGATGAGCCCTACAGTGCTAAGTCTTTAGCTCCTTATGCTCTTTTCAATCCTTCACTGTTGGAAGCTGAGGTATTGTAACTTCAATTTTTCGTCGATTCTTTTTGCACAAAATTGAGAAAGTTTATTTCATACTTTACCAAACATCTCCTAACACTTCTCTTTTGAATTATTAAGAAAACTTGAGAAGAATTTCACATTAAATATACTTAATTAATTCATAAAAATGTTAATTATAAAATAAATTCATATATTCCATGCATTCATCAATAATCTTATTCACCTCTATAAAATTATGCTTGTACTTTTATCAAGCAACTTCCATTAGCCTTCCCTCCACTCATAAATTGTTAGGGTGCAAAGCTCATCACATCACCTAACAATTGTTACATGCACATGAAATGTAGAGCTTATCACCTAGCAGTTCATCATAGCTTTATATGTTTTGTAATGTCCAACATCTCACGTTGAGTCACACCAACTCAACCACATGCCTCAAAAACACCATCTAGACCATTTCAAGTCCTAAGATGGAGTAACATACATGGTTAAAATTCTTATCACACTTTTGACCAACAAAAGGACTAACATGATATTCTAATACTCAAAATGTTACACTTTATGTCACTTACGATACTCGATGTATCTTATAACCTCATTGGGTGAATTTTTTTTATTATTTTTATTGTATATTCTTCCTCTACTCAAGATAAATGGTTAGTACTAATAAAATCAAAATATTTCTTTTACAAAAAATGTTCATATTAGTATTGTTAGGTGTCAAACTATTGATATGGCAATTAAATTGTTAATTAATAATTTAAGTAAATAGTTATGTTTTTTCTTGCGTCATTTAAAATATAAGAAAAATGATTCATTTATTTCATAAGTTTTGATATAATTACTCTACTTAATAAGTTATAGTCTATATTAAATTTTAATAATTCAATTTTTAAATTAATAAATTGATCAAGTTTATAAAATTTAAAAATTATATAATATATCATTTTATATATTCAAATTAATAATTATAAGATTGCATAATTAGATATATTCAATTTATTTAAAATTTAGTGCAAGTGATGATTGAATTAATATGAAAATATTTAATAGTTGAGTTAATACATTAATAAAACAAAAAGATATTTAAAAAGAATAACTTTAAAAGTATGTGTTTGAGTAATTTTATTTCTCAAATATATAAATCATTTTATTTTAAGTGTAAGTATTGGTCTTTTCAATAATTTTTTTTATGTATTAAATTTTATTTTATAATTTCAATTACTTAATTAAAAGTTTTATTGACTATACAATATCATAGATATTTTCAAAATTAATAGTTAAATTTATGAAAAAATTTCATTGAAAAATTCTTCATTAAATTATTACGTCGATGTCAGAACTTAGGTATATGGGTTTATTATATATCTCATAATGTATTTTTCCTTATATATTATATTTCAAAGTACAATTTTTTATTAAATTTATTTTATTATTTTTATTAAACTATCAAATTAAATAATGCCTAACCCCAAGTGTGTGGTTCAGCGGTAAGGGTTGATCCACGCTTAAGCAAGGTCAGAGGTTCGAATCCTGCCTTGTGTATGCTGTCGGCGGTGAACTACCCTAAAAAAAATTAAATAATGCCTCATGTTTTACTCTGATTAGTCTAAATTAAAAATATCCTATTAAAATAGAGAACAAACGTCTACTAATGGAGTTTGGATTTGAACTACAATTCAAATTCCTAAAGAGAGAAAAGCCTCTCTATATTTATTTTGGTAGCTGGCAATGTCAGAGAAAATAGAACTCTATATTTATATCCTTTTTTTTTTCTAATGAAAGACGCCTATATGTAGAGAACAAAAGAAAAAAGCATGCATCCACCGATACACGTTTAATGTTTCTTACAGAACAAATGTGTAAAATTAAACCAAGAAAGTGAAAGCGCATCAATCATTTAATTTTAATAAAAGTACACTGTAAGCTTAACTAATTTTAAATTTTAAATTCTAAATCAATAATAAATACATCTTATTTTCTCACTTTTTTATTTTTAGAGAAGTTAAATCCTATTTTGAGAAGTTAATAATAAAAATATATGAAATATTTAAAAAATAGATTTATTTAAATATTTTTATACATTTTTCCTTTAATATCTTTCTTTATTTTTTTTGTTGTTGTTATTTTTAATCTGTTTCATTTGAGAAGATTGTTTTATATTTTATAGAGAAAGGAGGTGTAAAGCCTGGGTTAAATAAAGAATAATTAAATAAATATTTAATTAAATTATTTTTTTAAAACTTCATACTAATTTTTATTTATATTTACAACACGTAACGCGTTGATAAAGAAGACGCTCCTGATGGCGTAGAAAAAGACAAAAAGGAAAAGAAAGATTTGAAAAGCGTAGAAAGCGGGATGAGGACACGTGGCCCACTATCCGTTATTCGACCGTTATAGAAAGAAAGGGTGCAAATGCAAAACACAAACACATTAAAATCACTCTTTCAATTTTCTCTCTCTGCATTCATCCATTGCTGAATACCAATACCAATGGCCATTGCAACGGAGACCCAACTTCAACCTCAACAACACAAGGTATCTAATCCTTCAAATTAAACTCTTTTTTCTTGTTTTTGAATAAACACTATTTGGTGAATTTTCTGATTGTTTCGTTTTTGGTTTCGCAAGGCTTCTTCGGAGGATTCGGGTTCAGATATGGATCAGAGAAGGTGGACGCTCAATGATTTTGATATTGGAAAGCCTCTTGGAAGGGGGAAATTTGGCCATGTCTATTTGGCCAGAGAAAAGACTGTGAGCTTTCAATTGCTCCCGCGTTTTCTCTCTAGACTAACCCTAATTTTTATGTTACGGATTTCTGTTCATTTCGTATTTTTATGACCGTGGATAGTTTTTGATTATACTAATTTCTATGGATTATGTCGTTTGCCTTGTTTTTTCATTTGTTTGGGGAAAAGTTCGTGTTATTCTCGGTTGCTTTGGCAAGATTAAATTTATGGGCCTATAGGGTTTTAGCACTTTTCTTGTCTCATAAATTTCACATCGAGGGTTTGAATGAGAAACTGATTAGAGGTGTAGTCGCCAGCTGAAGTTTTTGGTATTGTTGGTTTTTGACAAGGTCTAGGGTTTCATCTCACCCCTGTTTCTTTCTTCTAATATCAATTTGCATTCAAGCAAGGCGGGTGCTGCTATGTATTTTTTCCGTTGTTGAAGCCCAAAGGGCTCTTGCGTGGTGTGTTTGGGATGGAATATAAAGCATGTAACGTGCCTTCACCTAACTAGATACTGGAATTGTTGGTTTAAAATAAGAGCTATTGCATTACACATGATCATTGTTGATTTGTGCGTATCTGAACTGGAGTAGTTAGGAATTAAGATTGTATTATCGATGTTGATTTGTACAGATGGTTGCTCTTCACCTTCTTGTTTTCACATGTTAATTTTATTGTGAAACTGAAATTTGGTTTTGATACAGAGTAATCATATTGTTGCTTTGAAAGTACTCTTTAAGAGCCAGTTGCAACAATCCCAAGTTGTGCATCAACTTAGAAGAGAAGTTGAAATCCAGAGTCATCTCCGACATCCCCACATCTTGCGCCTCTATGGATACTTCTATGATCAGGTATGTTTGTTTATGCTGATAATGTGGAAGAGGGTTAAATTCAATGCTATTTACATTTCTGTGAAATAACTTCATTGCAGAAGCGAGTTTATTTGATTTTAGAGTATGCACCCAAAGGTGAACTTTACAAGGAATTGCAAAGATGCAAATATTTCAGTGAAAGGCGTGCAGCTACTGTAAGTTCTTTTCAGCAGAGTTCGATCTTTTCCTTTCCCCATATGCTATTGTTTGTGGATTACAAGTTCCATATTGACTGATTATTTTTTTTCTACACAATTTTATTAAGATATTAAGAAGCATTTATTCATGTAATACATAGGAGATAGGACATTTAAGATATTGACTGATGTATACTTGAATTGCTTCTGAGACTGACAAGTTAATGTTTATTTTGCGATTGAGGCAGTATGTTGCATCATTGGCCCGAGCCCTTATATATTGTCATGGAAAGCATGTAATACATAGGGACATTAAACCAGAGAACCTTCTTATTGGTGCACAGGTGATCTCCTATACCCAAACTGCTGTTTCTTATGTGGTCCTTTTGCTTGTTGTCCTCATTTTGTGTTGACTATTATTATGTTAACATCTTTGCATTGTTAGGGTGAGCTGAAAATAGCAGACTTTGGGTGGTCAGTGCATACATTCAATCGCAGGCGGACCATGTGTGGCACACTGGATTACCTTCCTCCTGAGATGGGTATGCTTATGTTACATGACTCACTCTTTCAAATATTTTAGGTGTTATTCTCTCCATAGATGATGCACCACTATATTTCTTCTAAACACTTTTGAGGTTTTAACAGTGGAGAGTGTAGAACATGATGCGAGTGTGGATATATGGAGCCTTGGTGTCCTGTGCTATGAGTTTCTTTATGGAGTCCCTCCTTTTGAGGCTAAAGAACATTCTGATACTTACAGGAGGTAAGTACCAAGTTGTTGAATATAAATTAGCATTAGTATCATGCACAGACTATGTATTTTTTTATCCAAAAGCTAAAGGGGCTATAATTGTAAAGCTGTATATGGACAAAACAGTTCGAACGGACTAGGTGCTAATGCTACTGTGCTTCATGTTACTTTCCGAGTCTGGTGTCTTTTTTATGAACTATTTGTAAACATTTAATATATTTAATATGTCAAAACATCCCATCTTAAACTATTTGTAAACCTTCAAATTGGCAGGATAGTACAAGTGGATCTCAAGTTCCCTCCTAAGCCAATAGTGTCTTCCGCTGCAAAGGATCTCATTAGTCAGGTTTGTAGCACTATGATTTATTTTTTGTCAAGTGGATCTCGAGGATTGCCTTTGATAAGAAATTTGTGAGCATCCCCTGAGTAGCTCTTTCCTCTGTTAATTTTTTTTTTTAATTTACAGATGCTGGTCAAGGATTCCTCTCAGCGTCTACCATTGCACAAACTCCTTGAACACCCTTGGATTGTTCAGAATGCAGAGCCATCCGGTGTATACAGGGGCTAGTGCACCTCATCATTTTTTTTTGTATTTTCCTTAATCGTGGAAACCATCAGAATAGAAGCTGCTTTGAAGGTATTTGAAACAACCGCTGGTTTAGAGACGGTGCAACTATTTGAAGAAGTTGCTACGTTTAGAGATGATGCAACCATTTTGGTTGAGAGATGTTACTATTTGATTAGAATAACTGATGTCACCTTATTATTTTATTGTAAACCCTACCCCTACAAGGCTATAAATATAACTGATTTGTTCAGGGGCAGAGCATTTTGGGGTTCATTCTAAAACTCTGCTGGCGAATTCGCACAAAAGAAATTGAGTGCATAAAGCAATCTCTTTGTTAAATCTCGGTTGATTCAACAGGAATTCAAATAATACCTTGTTTTGTTATTAGGTCAAAATTACCATGCTTTGTATGTTGTGTGCTTAGATCAATTTGTTATTAGGTTAAAATCGACTCAAAATGAATAATAAGATCAAACCTCAATATGTCAAAACTTTTTTGAAAACCATCATTTTTATTAAAATATATAAAAAATAATAATACTAATTTCTTTCAAGCAAGCTTAAGTCAACTTTGTTAATAAGTGTTTGAAATTGAATCTAAAACGTGGATCTCGGATGTACATTCAAACATGTCTTGTGTTTGAGATCGAATTAAGACAAAATTTTGTTAAAATCATTAATTTTATTAAAATATAAGAATTAATACCAATTTTAACTAAATTCTAAGAATTTAAATTTTTTATTTTAATTATTAAATTAAAAGTTTTTATTAAAAAATATTAGGATTAATTTGGTGGTTGGGGTACCTAAATTGAATTCTCATTACGACCATCTTTATAATTTTTCTTATTTTTATAAAAAAATTATTAAATAAAAAGAATTAGATAAAGTCATAAAAAATGAAATTATTTATTTAAACGACTCAACTTTAAAAACATGTTATTAAACAGATATAAAAAATAATTAAAATTTTTAATACTTACTTTTCATTAAATGTTTTTAATCATTTATATGATAATAATTTTTGAATCAATAAATATTTAGTTTTTAATCATCATGTTAAAAAAGAAAGGAAAGATTGTCAACACGTATAAAGCGGGATGGCGCGCTATTATTCGACCGTTGTTATGTGTTGTGTAAACCAAAACATAACAAAATACAGCACAACACAACACGCCCTAATAATCACAACAGAACAACACAAGGTCTCTATAGGGTTTAGGGTTTTCATTTCCCCTCTCAACTTTCTCTGATTTATTTGTATTGTAGCCATTGCCTTCTTTGAAATTTGAATTTGTCATTGTTGAGATTCGTGGATTTCCAGATATTGACCAAGTGTGAACCAAATTTGCATTTTTCTTGCGTTGTTGCTCGGAATGAACTTTTTGTTTGTGTGTGTGTGGAATTAATCGGCAACAAGGTTTGCTTCTGATTGGTCTGCGCTTCGTTTTGCCAGTTTTTTTGGGGTTCGGGTATGGAGCAAAGAAGGTGGACGCTTAATGATTTTGACATTGGAAAACCTCTTGGAAAGGGAAAATTCGGCCAAGTCTATTTGGTTAGAGAAAAGAGTGTGAGCTTTTCTCTTCTCCTGCCTCAACTAACACTATTTTTTATGTTACCAATTCTGTTGTTCATGTTTTTGGTCATGTAAGGGGTTATTATTCTCATCATGAATAGTTCTATGGATTATTTCATTTCCTTATTGATTTGCCATATCTTTACATTTGTTTGGGGGGAAGTTCCCACTATTTTGGATTGCTTTGGCAAGTTTGTACGGGATTCACATTTTCTCTTCAAATTTCTCATTGAGGGTTTGAATGTGAATCTGTTTAGAGTCAAGTTTTTGGCATTGTTGGGGTTTGTCACAACAAGGTTTTCTCATCTTTGCCTAAAAAACTAACATTTCAACACAAAGTAGGTAGAGGCATGTGCTGCTGTGCATTGTGCAGTTAGAGCCCAAAAGGCTCTTGCTTGGGCGAGTGTGTTAGAAATGCAATGTATTCAATGTGTCTTCACCTATGGCGTCTGGAATTGTTGGTTTAAGATAAAAGCCATTGATTGCATTACACAGGACCACTGTTGATTTGTATATGTTTTATCTTATATGGTTATGATATACTACCTCTGTTCTCTTTAATAGTCGTTTGAGGTTTTTCACCAAGAAACGCAATAATTTTTATGTTTCATATTATATCCTCTATGACTTTACTCCATAATAAATGTGTATTAGTTGTTAAATTGTAAATTTATTAAAAATTACGGTAAAGATATAATTGACAAACAAATAATTAATTTTGTCTTGACCTTCCCTTCAAAAAAGAAATTGTCTTGAACTTTGGGAAAAAAAAAAAACAAAATTTTACTAAAAAAAACTATTAAAAATGAATGGGGAGTATTTATTAGAATAAATTACATTAACACTTCCTAAGCATGTTTTCTAATGTTTATAACGACCTTTTTGAAAGGGGAACATGATGTAATGTTTTTCAAATATTTAATGAAAGTTTGTGTAATATTTTTCAAACAATTAAGGGGTTAGTGTAGGGATAAAAAAAGAACTGAATGTACATGCAGTTTGACCAAACTTCAGGAAATGTCGTGTAATTTACTATACTCTATTTATTATTGTTGTTGATTTGTGCATATGGTTTCTCTTCACCTTGTTTTCACATGTTAAATTTATTGTGAAACTGAAATGTGATTTTGGTGCAGAGTAATCATATTGTTGCTTTGAAGGTACTCTTTAAGAGTCAATTGCAACACTCCGAAGTTGTGCATCAACTTCGACGAGAAGTTGAAATACAAAGTCATCTCCGACATCCCAACATCTTGCGCCTTTATGGATACTTTTATGATCAGGTATATTTCTTGTTTATGCTGATTGCTGAAGAGGGTTAAATTCACTAATATTAACATTTTCTGTGAAATAACTTCGTCGCAGAAACGAGTTTATTTGATTTTAGAGTATGCACTCAAAGGTGAACTTTACAAGGAATTGCAGAAATGTAAATATTTCAGTGAAAGGCGTGCAGCTACTGTAAGTAATATATCATACAGCAAAGCTGGTTCTTGCCTCTACCTATGTACTGTTGTTTGTGGATTACTAAAATCCATATTGGCTGATGTAATTTTTTCCTACACAATTGTATCGAGATACTAAGATCAAGTAAATAATGAAAAGTCTGAAACATCTGACTTGAGTAAAATAGAATGTGTAGTTGACAAGTCATGTGTTGGTCGGGGTAGAAGTTATAATGTGTTTGCCATGTTGGAATATAATAATAATAATAATAATGTATAAAAATTAAAGTGGCTCAATTATTGTCAATAATCAGAATATAATTAAGGAATAACTTTAACAATTTTGTATTATTTACTCTTTATGGAGGAGTTAATATGGGGTCACTTACATTTTTTGCAATTTATGAGGGATCCCTTGCTTGCTTAAGCTTATGATGTCCCATTGATTCACACACTTTAGAAAAGCCTAAAACTAGAAGGGCTTAAGACTAGAAGAATTCCTTCCCTTTCTCTAAATACTAAGCCTTCTATTAGGTATTGAGTATTTAATTTGTGAGAAATTCTTTGGAATAGATTTTTGTATCAATGGCTACTGGAGGTATGCTTCTGCTTTTAAATAACTTAATTGTACTGTATTATAAATTATAGACTAAAGATTTCTAAATAACTTAATTTTATAGTATTATAAGTTATAAATTAAGGTTCAATATTTCTTACATGTCAGGCTACATGCATGTGTTCTACTTGAACATTCTTCTGAGATTGACAAAATGATGTTTATTTTGTGATTGATGCAGTATCTTGCATCATTGGCCAGAGCCCTTATATATTGCCATGGAAAACATGTAATACATAGGGATATAAAACCAGAGAACATTCTTATTGGTGCTCAGGTACCTAGGCTTCTGTTTCTTGCATGATCTTTTTGATGTCCTCACCTTGTATTCATTATTAAATCATCATCTTTTCATTGTTATTGTCAGGGTGAACTGAAAATAGCAGACTTTGGATGGTCGGTGCATGCATTCAATCGCAGGAGGACCATGTGTGGCACACTGGATTATCTTCCTCCCGAGATGGGTATGCTTACGTCAAATGAATCACTCTCACTATATATGACGCCCCGCTATATTTCTTCTAAACATTTTTGAGGTTTCAACAGTGGAGAATGTAGAACATGATGCGAGTGTGGATATATGGAGCCTTGGTGTCATGTGCTATGAGTTTCTCTATGGAGTCCCTCCTTTTGATGCTAAAGAGCATTCTGAAACTTACAGGAAGTAAGTACTAAGCCTTTGAATTAGCATTAGTATCATGGGCAGACTGTTTTTTTATTATCCCACCCTAAAGCTAGGGTGCTAGTGCTACCGACTCTACTGTGCTTCATGCTACGTTCCGTGTCTGGTGTTCTTTTTATAAACTACAAATACAATCTGTAAACATTCAATATAAATTGTAGTGCAAGTAGATCTCAATTTCCCCTTTTAAGCTATTTGTAAACCTTCGATTTTGCAGAATAGTACGAGTGGATCTCAAGTTCCCTCCTAAACCAATTGTGTCTTCCACCGCAAAGGATCTCATTCGTCAGGTTTTGCGTCTTGTAGCACTACTTTATTTTTTTTGTCAAAGTCTCTATCTCAAGGATACTGTTTGAGGCAATTTGCCTTGGTAACTAATTTCTCTATTTCTTATTAAAACAGATGCTGGTCAAGGATTCCTCTCAACGTCTACCATTGCACAAACTCCTTGAACACCCTTGGATTGTTCAGAATGCGGAGCCGTCCGGTGTATATAGGGGCTAGAGTACCTCATCATTTTTTTTTATTTGTTGGAAAAAAAATTGCAAATTTTCTTATGATCTAATTTGTGAAAAGTGAAATAAATGCAAAAATATAGAGTTCGATCAATTATGCATAGTCTCCGGCATGCTACAAATCTTCTACTAAAAAAAATGTTCAAAAGTATTTATACGTTATTCAATCCACATCCAAATTACAGCCGAAAATTGAGATTTTCTTTCTAAGTCCTTATCGTACTTAGAATTAAGTTAAGCATCTTCTGTTTTTTTTTTTTTTTTGTCAATCAATTCTTAATTGATCTTCCTTATTTTTTTTTTCTCAACAAATAAACAACAGAGTTCACTCAATTTTGTTTGGCTTAACAACAACCTCATGTTAGCCAACAATCTCACGTATTAAAATTAAATCTAATCTGTCATCACACTTTAATTAATGCAGCAATATTTATTGGTTTGATGCTCTATCACATCATCTGAAAGTTAAACATAGTTTCAAGTTTGTTTTATTTTTTAGGAAATTATATTTGTACTCCCTATATTTTATTTTTAAGATTGTGGCCGATATTTCTTCATACTTTAGACCCACAGTAAGATTCATTAATAATTAAACAAATCCTACATTGACCTCTCCTAACTTCAAAGATAATGTCATGTGACCTACATATAATTTTTAGTGAATTTTTTGCTTTCTAAAATGCTCTCATCTTCTTCAACTGTTCCATGACTTGTTGAGAGAGGCAAAAGAGAGAAAGAGGTGAATGGAGCACTTAGAGAAGATGAGGGGATTTTAGGAAGACAAAAATTCATTAAAAGTTATGTGCAAGTCATGTGGCATCATCTTTGGGATTAGGGGAGGTTAGTGTAACATTTGTTTAACTTTTAAGGAGTCTTACTATATGTTTAAATTATGAAGAAATATTGACCGTAATCTTAAAAAAATATAGGGAATGCAAATGTAATTTACTCTATTTTTTATCCGTTGGAATTACATTAACAATATCAAATTTAAACTTAAAACTTTGAGTATATTATTCCAACCTCCATACTGATACTAATGATTCTATTATTTTTAGTGCCTTTGGTAGCATATTTGTTGGATACTTGAGTTTTTTTTATAAACAATTTTTAGCACTTCAATCTCAAGTAGAGAGATCTAACGAAATAATAATAATAACAATAATCATAATAATAAAAAAGTTCAATTGTTTTATAATGAAATGTTGAATTCTTATGCACTTTGACTATCAAATATTTTTCTTGGTGGGTGATCAAATATTCTATCCCATGGTAGAATGAGACCAGATTTATCTTTCAGAGTGTATATCCTAAACTTAAAATACATTTATAGTGTGTTTAGATGGAGAATTTAAATGGAGTAATTCATTTATTTGAAGAATTTTAAATTCTTTGAAGTGAAATACCTTGTTTGGATGAAGAATTTATAAAGAATTTGAAATTCAAGCATTTGTGAAATTTCTTGAAATAGTAGAATTTCAAATTCTCCCAAAAAAGTAAGAATTTGAAATTCCTCATATTTTTCTTCTTATTATTTCACTTATATATTTTATCTTATCTCTTATCTCTTCATAATTTTAATTATTAAATATTTAAAAATATTTTTAAAATTATTAAATATTATCTAATATTAATTTTTAAAATTATTAAATATTATTTAATATTAATTTTTAAATTTATTAAATATTTAAAAATTAGCTAATATTTATTTTTATAAAATTTAATTTAAGAATCTCAATATATAAATATATTTTTAAAATCAAATTTACCATGGTAAAATCAAATTATCATATCTAACCCAACAATTTAAAATTTGACACCTCTGAATTGATTCATCCAAACAAAATATTTTCAGAATGATAAAAATTGAAATCAAAGTAATTCAAATACCAAGAATTTAAAATTTCTTGAATTTGTAAAATTCATTATCCAAACACACCATTGAGCAATAATCGATTAATATTTTACTATTTTAAAATAAGAAATAGGTAGGTACTAATGAAAAGTACTTATCCCACAAATAAGGGTCTCAACTCAATGATGAAAAAGATACAAGGAATAGAAAACTTACACTGTATAAGATAAATTGATCCATTAATCCTTTTACTAAACAATGTGCATAATATCTAAAGGTGGGTTCAAATAACCGTAATGGATTACTTAGGTGATTAACATTTTTTTTTTTTTGTAAAAGCACCCTCTTATCTTTCAGAACGCGTATCCTAAACTAAAAAGTTTTGTATATATTTAATACAAAAAAAGTACATACGTTTAGGCAATAATTGATTAATAATATTTTACTATTTTAAAATATAAAATAGGTAGGTGTTAAAGAAAAGTACTTTGACCCTGAACGTGGGTCTCAACTCAATGATTAAAAAGATACAAGGAATAGAAAATTTACATCGTATAACAAATTGTTTCAGAAATGCTTATGAATAACAGTGAGAGGTAGAAGAACAAAAATGGTTTTTTTTAACAAGAACATGAATCTCAGCCTAAGTTTGATATACAAGGATGAGAAAACACGCTACATAACAAACTATTTGAGAAATCCTTTTATAATGTGTATGCTATCTAAAGGTAGGTCCAAGTAACCATTGCAATGGATGACTAGTGGAGTCCAATCTATGTGAGTGCATATTTTATGCTTGTGCACACACATATAAAAGCAATAAATGAGTATTAGTTTAAAATATAAATTATTTAAGTGTAAAAGAAGGTGAAAAAGAATTTAGTTAAAAAAAATTAAGTGTAAAATGAGGTAAAAAAGAATTTATAGTATGAATATGGATGTAAACTCAGATGGGACGGATATGTTGGACATATGACCAAACGCTGCATAATATAGACAATTTGAAAATAAAATAGGTGTTAGAAAATTGTGTATATTTTTTTTATGTATATTTGGATATACATTGATATAATTCATTATATATCAATGTGAATTTGCATAATTAATTTTGAGTAAACATATGAGAAAAAAAATAACGTTAGGATAACAAAAGATATGAAGTGATTTTTATATTGAATATTATTCAAAAGCTTGTTATAATTATAAATCGGGATATATAAAACCTCAAAATTGATTTTATTTAATAAAAAAACTAGTAATAATTGCTCCCAATTACATGTGAATTTGTACATCTTAAAATTAATTATGCTAATAACTAAACATAATAAAAGTGATTATGATCATCTTGAAAGCAATGAAATTGTTTCCGTACACGTTAAACTTGGAACCAAACACCCTATAAGGAATGTGAGATTGAGCTCAGGTGAGGCATATCACAAAAAGCACACATTGCACAAGTCTAATCATTTAAGAAACTTTATTGCATACATAAACATAACACTCTTTTCAGCTTCGTTCCAGCAAAACTGAATATAAAAAAACTCAAGTCACAACCAAAAACAGAGAACAACAACCAGATAAATTAGTCCCCTAATCCCCTCATTATATAATTCCGTTCGATTCTTAATGAGCTAGGTTAAAAATTCAATGACAAAATCTTCCGAGTACAAAGATCACACAAGAAGGCGGTCTTTATAAAGAAAGACGTACCAACTTGCAAAACATGGAAACGGACAAAAAGAACAGCTCCCAATACTCCAGGGATTTGGAGGATGTAGGGCTAGAGGGTCAAATGCTAAAAACATGTTACCAGATACAGTTGTAGATAAACAAGCCTATATCTAATTTTCTGTCTTGATACTATTGTCTGCGTGGTTTCCTGATTCTTGTTCATATTTAAAATTGTCCCCTTCGAACAACTGAGTGGGAGGTTGTTCTTTTTCATCGGCTTCATCAACATCATTGCAATTGTTCCCTTCTAACAATTGGGTTGGAGGTTCTTTGGCTTTCTTGGCTTCATCTAAATCTTTAGGGCTCAAAAAGCTTGGCTGGTTGGTTGAAGAAAGGAGTCTTGCCCACATTCTGTCAGTAATCACCACCTTGTTCTGCTTCTCGGTGATTCTCTGGGTATAAAATTCAAACATACTATTGTAAAGAACATTTCTGATCTTGGGAAAATACTAACATCAATATAAAATTGGAGATGCAATAGAAAACAAATAGGCACGTTCTTATGCGCAGGGTGTAGTGAAAACATAAAACAAACTTATGTATATCATTCTTCCATATAATGAGTAGCTCAGTTGCAAATATCTCTGCATTTTGTTTTCCTAACTACAGGTATTCTTCATAGAATGCAATCCTATTCAAGTCCAGTTAAAAAAAGTTCCATACACAAGGATCAAACTAGAGATCTTAATTGCTGGGGTGTGGGGGGAATCAAGCATGTATCACTTACACCAATCACCAGTTGGTATTAAACAAGAGTGAAAAATTATTGTACCCAAACCAAGAAAGAGCAACACATTATGGGTTAAGGATATGCAGTAACTTACATTGAATGGAATATAAGTATGTCTACCATTGACCAGTCCACTTGTAAACCCAGTATACCCTGCCATTGCACCATGGACTGCACTCTGAGCAAGAAGTGTGCAGTAGACATTATCTGATGCATTGCTTGGAATTGCCCGGATCATGTAAGTTGGATCTAGCAGATACAACAACAAACAACAAAACATTATCCCACTAGGCAGATAACCAAGTTAAAATTACATAATAAAGTCAAATTTTTAGAAAACCTTAAAATAAAAATGGAAGACAAAGATATAAATAGGTCAAAAGGAAGAGAACGCTGCTAGAGAAACTGACCTATATATTTAAGATTGATGTCAATCGTATCCTTCTTTGCAAAGTGATCCTATTACAGCATGGCAAATGTTTATTAAAAGTGACAGAGAGAGAGAATTGCACAGATTGATTTTTGTGGCTAGAAAGATCTTAACAATAACATGCAAGACTTGTAAATACAAAAAAAAAAAAAAAAAAGTACATAACTATATACATGCCATCTAGCAACTGGCAAAGATGGGGAGGAGTATGATAAATGGTGTGGTTTTTCCTGATAGGCAAGGATATGTGCACTAATGATAGTCCATAGGAAACAAAATCAGGAGAAACTCTACTCAAAATGTTTCATCAAATGACACTTACAAAAAATTTCTCAACTATTTTCATATTCTCTAATAGTTCACTAATTCAAAATTGTTTTTAGTGCTAAGCCACAGGCAAAGTTTATATTGTTATGGCATCTATCTTAAGGGAGTTGATACAGGCCCCGTTAAGGTTTAAATTAATCAAAAGAATATTGTTAGGTAACCCACATTAGTAGTTAATTACAATATATCAGGCAGTGAGCCTGAATAAGTTAGTTGAGTGGGAATAACCAGAAGTAACAATGCCAGTGGCCTCTAAATAAGAATAGGGGACTAAATGGGAGGGATATCCTGTCATTTGAGAAAGGATTGTACTCTTAGAGAATGGGGAGCGAACAGGGTCTCTTGAATACCTTGAGAATTCCATACAAATTCATTTCTTTTTGTATAATGCTGATCCAGTTTCTATCAAAGAAATTAAGATATAATTGGGAAAGCAAGCTCCCCAAGTGCTTAATTCCTCATAGAGATGTATAACTAGGCAAGTAGAATTATGCTGCACAAATTTCTGATGAAAAGGTTTTAAGAACCATCTCATGTACAAGTCACCTTGATCTTATGAGATATCCATAAACCAACATCTTGAAGTAGTTTGTTTCCAGAAGCATCTTTCTGGTCCATGGCCTGCATACTTTCTGTAAGAAGATCTTGTCCTGCTCCCTCTGCTATGACTATGACCATATGCCCATTTTCTTTCAGCCTTTTGTCAACAAATTCAAAAAGTCCACCCTTACCTTCAAGGTAGAAAGGTGACTCTGGAATCAAGCAACAGTCCACATCTCTGCTAGCAAGAGTAGCATACATTGCAATAAAACCTGCAGTCACAGGATCATCATAACAGAAAAAGAAAATAGATCCAGCTCCTCTAAAGCAACTGGTGCACTTAAGAGAATAAAATGAACTAACAATTGTTGATTAAACAATCAACATTTGAGGATTATGATAAAATCGAATAAATATATTAAAAAAATTAAGTTACTTACAATCTCGTTCATCAATTTTCTAATAAATAGTTATTAGTGCACTTTATCCTCTAAATTGCACTTCCCTCACTCTTGGGAGCCAACTCCAAAATAAACAAGTCTAGTTAAAGAGAGTTGACAGTGAAACATTTTACTGATTTTGGTCATTGACATTTGAATTGACAGACAAAATAGGGTTTGAATCGTCCAAATTAGATTCCTGAAAGATATCAAACAAAAGCAAAGTATACATACCACTATATCGTCCCATTAGCTTTACAACACCAATGCCATTCTCAACACTTTCAGCTTCAACATGTGCTGCATTAATGGCACGTTGAGCCTCCTCGACCGCAGTATCAAAACCAAAGGATTTATCAATAACCTAAATAAGAAGACAATCCCCACATGAAATTTCTTCTATCATAGATATATAACCAACATTTCAGAAGTATTTTAATGATAAGATTAGAGTTCTAGAGGAACAAAAAATCATGACATTGTGAACAGGCATACCGGGATGTCATTGTCTATGGTTTTAGGAATTCCAGCAATTGCTACTTTCAGACCCCGCCGTCTAACTTCCTGTATAATAACCAAAATCTATTCAGAATGCTTACTTCATATATATCAAAAGATGCCAAGAATGATAACAGGTTGATCAGGCAGATATAAAAGTTATGCAACAAAATTTCTTTTAGAAAAAACTTGCTTCTAGCCAACCCTTGAAACTACCATCAATCTTGACCAAACTGTAAACGGCAGCATGCACCACGAAAACTACATTTGGAAATCAAGTTAATCAACATAGTTTGACACATTATTGAAATTGTTCTTGAAGACATGGGTCAACTTTGTCACAGAAACCACATTTACACTTAAGGTATAAACTATTCATCATTTGCATTAATTTTGGAAAGAAAAGGGCTAGCAAACGTAAGAGAGCAGAAATATGCATACATAATAAAAAATATAGTTCCCAAAAGATACTGATTAACAATTTTACCCAAACTTGGAAAATAGAAGGCATGAATACAATACTTGTCAGTAATTATTAATAAACTATAATTTATCATTCGAAATTACTTCTCTTTGGGGATTAGCATTCAGAGTGAACATATGGAAATTTATGAAATTTTAACTGAGATGCAGAAGGCAAACTAAATTTGGAGCATCTGATTAGTTAGTTTCATTAGACGTAATCAAGAAATTCAACAAATAAACTACACAAATATGTGGATTTGCAATCTTAAAAAGGTATTATCAAACATATTTCTTCTTGAATGGAATGATATTCTTATTTTTCTTATTGTAGACCAAACTGAGAAACATTACATTATTAAGTTTGAATTGCTATATGCCTATACCTCATAAATCACAGATGCTCCTCTCTGTGTTCCATCTCCTCCAATAATATAAACCTGTAAACCACAACCCAAACAATGAAAACCCATGCCATGACAATTGCCTACTTAGGTTTTAAGTACATTGATATAAAAAATTAATAAAATAAAAAAACTCTAAATTTATAATTCCAGCATTCATCATCATTAGACACTTAATTAGAATACAGTTGCCACATGGTAAACCTGATTAATCCCTCGATCCTGGATGCTGTCAACTATCTTGCCAGTATCATGCCCCCCTCGTGATGTCCCAAGAATTGTACCACCACGCTTATGGATGTCATTGACCACCTTAGGTGTTAAAGTAATGGTGTTCTTGGAATAAAAACCTCTATAACCACCCTGTGTAATATTGGATACAATAGTTAAAAGAACAACATGAAAATAAAATAAAATGAAGAGTAAAATTGTCTTCATGAAACCCAAAAGTTTGCTCAGTTTAATAGGTATCCATAGGAAGTTCTCATTAAACACCAGCATTGTTAGAACTCACAAAACAATAAAATACACATGTCTCATGTAAACACAATATCACACTTTTTGTATTAAAGATGCTGTCTTTTCAAAGTAAATGCAAAAAGGTAGGTTTCATCTAACCTCCCCATTATTGGAATGCTATCAAAGCAGCTAGTCAGCTTACCATCACCATTAATGTTTCATTCACATATGTTTACCATCGTGGCAAGAATCAATTAAGAAAAAGTGCTCATGATTTGTTGCATAGGTTACCAAGATTCCCAAATGAACATTTATTGTTTTGTTGCAAGAAATTTCAAACCAGAGTAATCAGATTTTGATTCACAATAATACAAAGTTTATAGATCTAATGTAATAAAGAAAAACGAAGCCACTGTGAGAACTATAACTTGCTTGAAACAAACATTAAAATGCTCATAAAGACAATTAGATGCGTCTAAACACATCTAGTTTGGATAAACTTTTTAATAAACACTAATAAGAGAAGAAAATAGGAACGAATCAAACTAGAGCACTTATAAATCATACAGAGCTTTGTTTGATTGATTGTGTATGGTGTACTATCCACACAATTTGATTTACCATAATGAAACAATACATACACACACAAAGAAGTCAGGGACAGAGAAGCACATCATAACAATGTAAACTTTCTTTACTAATGCATAAATCACAGATTATATAATCCAGAGGAGCTTATAATGCAATAAACTTGCATCAAAAGAAAATTTACTCACTCACATCTATGCCAAGGACTTTGTTAACTCCGTACATGTAAGAAAGTCCACAGACAATTTCCCTTATAACAGTGTTGAGGCCAGGGCAGAGTCCACCACACGTGACGATGCACGCATGTACATCATCTGATTTAAAGTATACCTGAACAGCATATTATTAGGTTTCGGTGAGTTGAAACAAAATTGATTATATATTCTTAAATATTCTTCATAATATATGCACAGATAGCCAAGGGAAATGACCTTTTGTCGCGGTCCTGCACGTCGAAAATGTACACCTCTTGGACTATCCTTGTGAACAACAACCTATTGAAAGGCCAAATAAAAGTATAAACACCAATGCACCTTGTTAATGCTTATATATAAGAAATAAATCCACAGTTTTCAGTTTAATTTTCATTGGATGTGTAAAAATAAAATAGAGATTGAGTTTATTCTCTCCGTCACTGATAATTAATTATCAGAAATCAATAGAAAGAGTTTCCTGTTCCACGCTCATCGAACAAAGCCATAATAATACATTAATTCAATAGCAAAGTCGCTGTCGATACTTGATAGCTCAGGTAATGCAAAAGAATCCTAACAAAGGCGTGAGACTGATGAAACGAAATAAATACACAGAGTACAAACGGTGTCGTTTATATAAATAAATAGAACCTTCTGAGGAACAGTGTCGTCCATGTGCACGAAATATTGCCTGGAGAAGAAAAAAAAAGAAAAAGAAAATCAACGTTTCGAAGTAAGCACGTTCCATTCTCAGATCACAATCGCAACACTAGATAAAGCGAATCACTTACTTAACAACCGAGTAAGCAGGATTGGATCGCAGTGGATTCGGATATGTCTGCAAAAAAAAAAAAAAAACTATGACACAAACAAACGCAAGTGAATGCGATGCAGATCGCACATGCAACTGAAGAACTCCAAGAGAGAGAGAATAATACATGAAGATTTGGAACGTAGTCGGAGAAGTGAGGAACGTCTTCGAGTATGTAACCGGCCTCGCCGTGTACGATTTTCATCTTCGAATCAGAGACGCTGGACGCCATTGCTCTCCTCTACAGAATCTTCGCGATTTCTCTGTTTATTGTTTTTGTTTGTAGATTTTGATTTTGGATTCTGGAGTGAACGAGAGAGAGAGAGAGAGAGAGTAGAATGAGTGTGGAAAAACAAAGAGCGCTTAGTAGAGTTTCAACTTTCAACGAGAATCGTAATGCTGACAGGTCACGATGGATCTGGACCGTCCGTGTGCATCCGTTCTCGAGATGGACGATAGAGATTGAAAGGGTTTTGAAGAGTTGAGTTGTGTGTGCGCGAAGAGTGCTTACGGAATCTAAGGACTTGGTTTTACCAGACACCAGGATGCGGTGGTGACTGAAAACTGGTGGCGCGGTTTTACCAGATACCGTTCAATCTAGAGTACTGGCTTACCGCTGTTATGGACTTCACTTTTAGGATTTTTTATACGTTTTTTTTTTATATTTTTAATGTAACTATGTTGGAAGTACCTCAAAAAATAGGATAGTTAGTCTCAAAATTTAACGTTATTACATATACAAGATAGGATTTGAATCTTTAACCTTGTTTAAACATGGATCAACTTTTACCGCTGAACCACACACTTGCATTACTCTTTATACGCCTTTGAGAATGCTCATTTTGATTTGTGATTTAAAAAATAATACTTTTAGAAAATATTCTTTTCGAAATTAATTTTTAGATACCCACAAATTATTTCCAAGAAAGGGGAAACTTGTATTAAAATAAAGTTTTAATACGTTAAAAATGTTACATTGTTTTATTTATTTATTCATTTAATATAATAAATATATTTTATTTTTAAATAATATAAAAATATTTATGATCGATCAGATATATTTCATAATTCATATCATGATTTTTAGACATTAAAAAAAATTATAAATTAGTCTCTTTTAAAATTTTGACTGTATTAATATTATCATTCCTAAAATCTCTTTTTATAAACTCAAAATTTTTAGACCTCACTACCAACTGTGTTATTGTTTAGATCGACCAACCTTGATATATATAAGACAATATGTTTTATGTTTAAAATACTAGGCTTGTAAATGTTGTAGTTGTGACTAAAGTTGTGTTTCATGTTAAGGACTGACTAAAAATACTAGGACAATATATTTCGTGTTTAAAATTTAAAAAGTTCAATCCCACCTTATTTGTGAATCGAGCACGTTGTCTGTAATGTTAGCTCCAAATTATCACATCGATGAAAAATTTATACTTATCATAATTATTGATTGATTGATAATAAATTTCTTTTTTACATTTATTGTTACTATAGTGATATAAAATCCTTAGAGAATAGTTTTGTTATGACTAAAACATTTAAAAGTAAGTTCTCCTTTTTGTATGGTCCTAACCTAAATCTCTGAGTTGATTAGAGGCTATTTAAATTAAGAGGTATCTCTCGTAGGAAGAGAGGTCCACATGGTCATTAGAAAAATAAGTCTAATATATGATGATAAGTGAATTTAAGATTGTCGATTTAAGATGTATATGATTTGACACAAAATAAAAAAATATATTGTTTTTCAATTTCAAATTAAAAAAGGTAAATGAGGCTTAAAAGGGATAATGTAATTGACATACGGTACTGCCTAAAATTGAGAGGATATTGATAATTATCATATATGATTTATTTTTATGGACATACATGGGCAATTATGTAATTTCTTATTTTCTAACTTTGTTTTTAAAATATATTCATCAAAATCATAAATAAGAAAATAAAATTTTTACAGTTTTTAATTGAATTTTCACCGGTTGTTATTAATTTGTTTTGTCTACTTTTTATATTAATTGAGAGTAGGAGGGATATAAAGAGGATGAATAATTAGAAAGTTTTTTTTCACTTAAGCGAATCATCATATTGGTTGCTTAAGTAAGGTTAAAGAGTTATTTTCAAGATTTTAAGTCATTCAAGCTCTTAAATGTGACCACTTGGAGGAACATTATTAAAGTTTATCCTTACTTAAGCCAAACCTAATTTTTGGTTAAGCAAACTTACATTAAAAAAAGACATTACACCTTGTTTTTGTTTGAGTAAGATTTAACTCTTGCTTAAGTAAGATTTTTTATTTTTTTAAAAGCAATCAAGTCTTGTCTTCCCTTAAATAAATTAAATAAGACGTGTTTAAATATATGTCTAATTTCAAAATATTAATGAAAATACTATTTAAGATCAATTGAAGAGGCATAACTTATCTAACATTTTTCTATGAATTTAATTTTAGGAAAAGTGACCTTGATAATAACAACAATGGTAAGAGGGTGAGTGAGAAATTTTTTTATAAATAATAATTTATTTTATAT